CAATAACCATATGGAAAATATGCGCATTCATTATTTTGTTTATTTTTTATTATTATATATTTACTTTTTACATACAACAAAACAGACACACATCAACATTCAACAAGAACAACAAAAAACTAAAAAGTATATACATTTGAAAGTCATTAATGTTGTGCTTATTTGTTTTTATTTGTTTTGATGCAATTTAAGGAGAAAGACAAAAATATCGCAATATCTTTATCATAATTCTAAACACTGATTTAGATTTAAACACAGCACACGTCGATACTTTTCTATTTTCTGTCATCCCTGTATCAACATCTATGAAAATAGGAAATTTGACGTTTTTGTCGTTAGGTGTTTTAAAAAAGCCTGAGTTTAGTGAATTCAGGGAAGACTCAAGGACAAGGCTGGTTTCTGTGAAATAAGTATCATTTTAGGAACAGCATGTCTCTGTTATCAGGACGAGGAATGAGACCCAAGACCAGACCAGACTCAAGGGACTGGAAAGGAGGCAGAGGCACTTCATATTCTTCTAGACATTTTCATAAAACTGTGGGCAGGACGTTTTGTGAGCAGTCTGAGCGGGGACAGAGAGAGAGAGGACTTTGCAGAACGCCTGGTTGTTCTCTCTCCTTCTCAGGCCTGAAGGGACGGTCCCCAGAGTTTTGTATTCATATTTAATTGTAAAGAGAATTAAATGTTGTTGATTTTGAACTCTTGAATGCTTGGTCTTATTTCTGTGTCAAATTCTGAGACACGTCCGTCGTTGTTTTGACAATAACACTCATATCGAATATCGGTCTCATTTCCATTATCGTGCAGCCCTACAGTTCATTTTCTACAGTGCGACATCACACATGGGCAGATAAATGCTCTCACAGATATCTCTCTCTATCTTTGCCTAATGTAAAAACACTTTTCTAACTGTATTGACATTTCTCCTGGGTTTTATTACCATTAAAATAAGAATATTTGATTTGCTCGGCCTTCGCTCCAGGCTTATATTTCAATAAATGTTCTGCAGATATGAGCCGTCCATTATCCCCTGGAGGAATTATGAAACACGTCACTGCTTTTGCATCACTCTCCGGAGGGAATTTGTCACGGAGCATTTATTCTCCCCAAAATACATCATGTCGTGGCCAGAGGTTAGCCACATGTCGTCATCGGAACGGATTAAACCAAATCAATCGCTGTCTACAGATGCATCATAAGCTTCCACTCTGATTACATTTTTTTGTTTACGACATTTGTTTTTATCCCGTCTACTTTCCTGCTCCCCGGGCGGAGAAACAAACTCCAAAACCTAAATAATGTTGCATGTTTTCTTCACAGTAAGAATAGTAAACCCATAGACTGTATACAGATTAGAGCCCTGCACGGGCCTATTATCTGGGCCCGAGCCCGGCCCTGGCCCGAGGGGGTGGCGCCCCAGCCCGGCCCGGCCCGATATGGTTTCTGAATTTTCAGGCCCGAAACCCGCATCAAGCCCGCCTTTTTTTTTTTTTTTGTAACCTCCCATAACAATGTTTTAGCGTAGTATATAGTGCCGCGCACTGATATGAACGCAGACTTAGCTAGAGGGCGGAGTTATACATGGTAGTGATGTGTTGCAATGAGTTCTGTGTGTGCGGAGTGGTGCAGAGTGAACGGCCGCATCTGTATGATACACAGCTGTATGATACACAGCTGTATGATGCCCAGATGCTGCAACACACCTGTAAGTGATGCTATGTGTCGTCAATGACAACACTACACAGAACAACAAACACTACAGCGTGATAGAACGCTATATTCAGTGGGTGCGCTCGTAAATCTATTCTGCCGCTCTGAAAATGAAGAGCCCGAGCCCGGCCCGTGTCCGAGGTCATTATGCGGTCATCGGCCCGAAGCCCGGCCCTCGGGCTGTCGGGCCGTCGGGGCCCTCGGGCCAAGGGCTCAAGTGCAGGGCTCTAATACAGATGGACAATGCTAACCCTGCTAGCTCTATGACGGCCACTCCCACATTACATTCAGACCTATTGCACATGTTTTTAGTGGTAGGGGAAACCGGAGCACCCGGAGGAAACCTGCACAGACACGGAGAGAACATGCAAACTCGACCCTGTTCCGACTGGGATTCAAAACCAGGACCTTCTTTCTGAGATGGTAAAGTGCTAACCACTCAGCCACCCCTTTGGCCAGTGCTTAAATTCTTAATATAAAAGTTTTATTTCCTGTTCAAATATTTGAAAAACATGCGACCTAAGATCTGAATATTCATAATGACCAAAGAAATCTACTACCACTACTACTACTACTACTACTCTTACTACCACTACTACTACTACTACTCTTACTACCACTACTACTACTACTACTCTTACTACCACTACTACTACTACTACTCTTACTACCACTACTACGACTACTACTACTCTTACTACTACTACTACTACTACTACTACTCTTACTACCACTACTACTACTACTCTTACTACCACTACTACTACTACTACTACTACAACTATTACTACTACAACAATTACTACTCTTACTACTACTACTACTACTACTACTCTTACTACTACTACTACTACTCTTACTACTACAACAATTACTACTCTTACTACTACTACTACTACTACTCTTACTACTACTACTCTTACTACTACTCTTACTACTACTACTCTTACTACCACTACTACTACTACTAGTACTACTACTACTACTACTACTACTCTTACTACTACTACTACTACTCTTACTACTACTACTACTACTACTACTCTTATTACTACTACTACTCTTACTACTACTACTACTACTACTACTCTTACTACTACTACTACTACTACTACTACTACTCTTACTACCACTACTACTACTACTACTACTACTACTCTTACTACTACTACTACTACTACTACTCTTACTACCACTACTACTACTACTACTCTTACTACTACAACAATTACTACTCTTACTACTACTACTACTACTACTCTTACTACTACTACTACTACTACTCTTACTACCACTACTACTACTACTCTTACTACTACTACTACTACTACTACTCTTACTACCACTACTACTACTACTCTTACTACTACTACTACTACTACTACTCTTACTACTACTACAACTACCACTCTTACTACCACTACTACTACCACTACTACTCCTGGTACGACCATGCTAGGCCAGACCAGACCAGACCAGACCGAGCCTTTTCTGTTGCTGTGACCTCTGTTCATTAGAGGCGCTCCTTCATTGAAAGTTTTGAAGTCAAGTCTAAAAACACGTAATTACACCGTGGCTTTGAACACCAACTAAGTTTTACCATTTTACTTTTTCATGTTTGTGTCTGTATTTTATTCTGTTTTCTTTTTTATCTTTCGTGCCTGTGAAGCACTTTGGGAAGCTGGTGTTGTTGTTAATGTGCTATACAAATCAAGTTGACATTGACATTGGCAGCACTTCTTATACTCCCGTCCCGTGCTGCAAAACATACAAAATACAGGCTACAAAAAGTTGTCAAAACATTTTCAAAAACATTACTATAAAATGTACCTACAAAAAAACATGGATCGCAAAAAGACCTGGACAGAAAAGGCAAGACCCAAAACTTTAGTACTTCATACTAAATGTGCAACTGTGGATGTAACTCCAGCACTCGGACCATCATGAACAGATGTAAATATCATGAACAGATGTAAATATCATGAACAGATGTAAATATCATGAACAGATGTAAATATCATGAACAGATGTAAATATCATGAACAAATGTAAATATCATGTAAATATCATGAACAGATGTAAATATCATAAACAGATGTAAATATCATGAACAGATGTAAATATCATGTAAATATCATGAACAAATGTAAATATCATGTAAATATCATGAACAGATGTAAATATCATGTAAATATCATGAACAGATGTAAATATCATAAACAGATGTAAATATCATAAACAGATGTAAATATCATAAACAGATGTAAATATCATGAACAGATGTAAATATCATGAACAGATGTAAATATCATGAACAGATGTAAATATCATGTAAATATCATGAACAGATGTAAATATCATAAACAGATGTAAATATCATAAACAGATGTAAATATCATGAACAGATGTAAATATCATGTAAATATCATTAACAGATGTGAATATCATGTAAATATCATGAACAGATGTAAATATCATGTAAATATCATGAACAGATGTAAATATCATGTAAATATCATGAACAGATGTAAATATCATGAACAGATGTAAATATCATAAACAGATGTAAATATCATAAACAGATGTAAATATCATAAACAGATGTAAATATCATAAACAGATGTAAATATCATAAACAGATGTAAATATCATGAACAGATGTTAATATCATGTAAATATCATGTAAATATCATGAACAGATGTACATATCATGAACAGATGTAAATATCATGAACAGATGTAAATATCATAAACAGATGTAAATATCATGAACAGATGTAAATATCATAAACAGATGTAAATATCATGAACAGATGTAAATATCAAACAGATGTAAATATCATGAACCTATGTAAATATCATGAACCTATGTAAATATCATGAACAGATGTAAATATCATGAACAGATGTAAATATCATGAACAGATGTAAATATCATGAAAAGATGTAAATATCATAAACAGATGTAAATATCATGAACAGATGTAAATATCATGAACAGATGTAAATATCATGAACAGATGTAAATATCATGAAAAGATGTAAATATCATAAACAGATGTAAATATCATGAACAGATGTAAATATCAAACAGATGTAAATATCATGAACTTATGTAAATATCATGAACAGATGTAAATATCATGAACAGATGTAAATATTTTCCAGCAGTGGGTTTAGCGGCGGTAAACAAACATCAGCTTTTGTGGTTGTGGTCCAGGAAGTGGCTCTTTATTGTGGAGCATTCAAATGGGCTCTTTTCTGAGTTTGGATTCCATTAAAGTGAGAGAATGGGGCCGTCAAAGAGTCGTGGCAAGGTGACTGATGCCTCCCCACTTCCTCAAAGGCAAAAAGAAAAGAAAAGCTAACAATATTCTGGCGTCGAACGTTCTCAGCTCAGCAAAAAAAAACGTACATTGCAAACTTAAAGCTGTCGGAGAGAGATAATGAATTATAGACGTGTTCTGGCGAGAGGTTATTCTGCTTATCTCACATGTGGAGTCGCCAGTTATTAAATTAGAATTTGGGAACGATGTTGGTTTCTGGGCTCGCTAAACTCGGAGACAAGCCTCCAATGGTGTGTGTGTTTTATTAAGTGGACATGGCTCAGGCTTCATGCTCCCAAACAGGCCGCCAGCAATTCTGGAGAAAATTATAAAACGCGGCAATAAACGTAATTAATTTAAAACTTGCGTCACTTTGTTAAAATAATATGATTAGGACGTGTGCGGGTCACTCTGATCAACAGAAATGCATTATGGTAATTCCTCCGTGGAAAGAGTTTGAGTTTATTGATTTGAAAGTCCAAATAAGTCTGTGCTAATGCTAATGCCACTGCTAATGCTAATTCTACTGCTGCTGCTGCTGCTGTGCTACTGCTGCTGCTACTACTGCTACTACTACTGCTACTACTGCTACTGCTGCTGCTGCTGCTACTACTGCTGCTACTGCTACTACTGCTACTGCTGCTGCTACTACTGCTGCTACTACTGCTACTACTACTGCTACTACTGCTACTGCTGCTGCTGCTGCTACTACTGCTGCTACTACTGCTGCTACTGCTACTGCTACTACTGCTACTGCTGCTGCTACTACTACTACTGCTACTGCTGCTGCTACTGCTGCTACTACTACTGCTGCTGCTGCTGCTACTACTGCTACTACTGCTACTGCTGCTCCGACTACTGCTACTGCTACTGCTGCTACTACTACTGCTACTACTGCTACTGCTGCTGCTACTACTACTGCTACTGCTGCTGCTACTACTGCTACTACTGCTACTGCTGCTCCTACTACTGCTACTACTACTGCTACTGCTGCTACTACTACTGCTACTGCTGCTACTACTACTGCTACTACTGCTACTGCTGCTGCTACTACTACTGCTACTGCTGCTGCTACTACTACTGCTACTACTGCTACTGCTGCTGCTACTACTACTGCTGCTACTGCTACTACTGCTACTGCGGCGGATACACTGTGTTATATGTAAAGTACTTCTACTGGATAGCACTCTCGCCTCTCAGCAAGAAGGTCCTGGGTTCGAATCCCGGTCGGACCAGGGCCTTTCTGAGTGGAGTTTGCATGTTCTCCCCGTGTCTGCGTAGGTTTCCTCCGGGTACTCCGGTTTTCCCTACCACTAAAAATATGTCCAATAGTTCTAGCATGTGCCTCCTGTACTGGCCCCTCCCATCTCTGTGTGGAGTGAGAGACAAATGCCCAAAATTAACAATTGTAAACCGCTTTGAGACTCAGATCTGCAGTGAAAAGGCGGTATATAAATAAAAACTTACTTACTACTTACTACTAACATTCACGTGTATTTTCTTTTTGGATTTTCTTTGCAGGAGTTTATGTACGAGCACTACTTTTTTATTGTTATTAGGCCTTTACCAAATGATTGAGATGTAGTTTGAAGGAATTGTCTTTTTGCATTATGGCGGTATTTGAACATGACTTTTATGTGACATGTGTTTCACTGTTAGTTTCTGGTGGATTTTTCTGATTTAGCCCAAAATGGTCACGTTCATTGAATTTTCATTTTAGATTTAACAATACATTTGGCTGTTTTCCTGAGAAATTGATGATGTATAATCTGCCCCGGTTCATAATAATTTTAGAAAATATTTTAGGGACCACTCAAAATGGTCTTGTGGGCGACGGACGACTGAAAAACCCAGTCTTTAGTCTGTTCCATTGGTCGTTAGAATGACCTCTGTTCTGTTCTTTAATAAAAGGATTATCATTTCATTAAACTCAACTTCTGACTCAACTTGCATCAGAACCACAGTTTTTTAGTTTGCCAAGCCCCGACTAAGAGCCCTTTGCTGTTTTAAATTGTTTTTTTCCAGTTAAATGTAATCTTGAATGGGTTTTTTGCTCTGAACATTCCCAAAACAAAATGATTTATTTATGTATTGAACTTTATTAAACCAGGAAAGTCTGTGCTCTCAGAGTCTCAGAGTCTCAGCGTCTCAGCGTCTCAGCGCCTCAGCGTCTCAGAGTCTCAGCGTCTCAGCGTCTCAGAGTCTCAGCGTCTCAGAGTCTCAGCGTCTCAGCGTCTCAGAGTCTCAGCGTCTCAGAGTCTCAGCGTCTCAGAGTCTCAGCGTCTCAGCGCCTCAGCGTCTCAGCGTCTCAGAGTCTCAGAGTCTCAGAGTCTCAGCGTCTCAGCGTCTCAGCGTCTCAGCGTCTCAGAGTCTCAGCGTCTCAGAGTCTCAGCGTCTCAGCGCCTCAGCGTCTCAGCGTCTCAGCGTCTCAGAGTCTCAGAGTCTCAGCGTCTCAGCGTCTCAGAGTCTCAGAGTCTCAGAGTCTCAGCGTCTCAGCGTCTCAGCGTCTCAGAGTCTCAGAGTCTCAGAGTCTCAGCGTCTCAGCGTCTCAGCGTCTCAGCGTCTCAGCGTCTCAGCGTCTCAGCGTCTCAGCGTCTCAGAGTCTCAGAGTCTCAGCGTCTCAGCGTCTCAGAGTCTCAGCGTCTCAGCGTCTCAGCGTCTCAGAGTCTCAGCGTCTCAGCGTCTCAGAGTCTCAGCGTCTCAGCGTCTCAGCGTCTCAGCGTCTCAGCGTCTCAGAGTCTCAGCGTCTCAGCGTCTCAGCGTCTCAGAGTCTCAGAGTCTCAGCGTCTCAGCGTCTCAGAGTCTCAGCGTCTCAGCGTCTCAGCGTCTCAGCGTCTCAGAGTCTCAGCGTCTCAGCGTCTCAGCGTCTCAGCGTCTCAGAGTCTCAGAGTCTCAGAGTCTCAGCGTCTCAGCGTCTCAGAGTCTCAGAGTCTCAGAGTCTCAGCGTCTCAGCGTCTCAGCGTCTCAGAGTCTCAGAGTCTCAGAGTCTCAGCGTCTCAGCGTCTCAGCGTCTCAGAGTCTCAGCGTCTCAGCGTCTCAGCGTCTCAGAGTCTCAGCGTCTCAGCGTCTCAGCGTCTCAGCGTCTCAGCGTCTCAGAGTCTCAGCGTCTCAGCGTCTCAGCGTCTCAGCGTCTCAGAGTCTCAGAGTCTCAGAGTCTCAGAGTCTCAGAGTCTCAGCGTCTCAGCGTCTCAGCGTCTCAGAGTCTCAGCGTCTCAGCGTCTCAGCGTCTCAGAGTGCAGGAGAAGGGTCCAGGAGTGTGTGTCATGTCTGAGTGAACCTTTTAAATCAGTCTTATCATTGTCAAGATGTTGGTTCATGGAAAGAACGTAGAGGACGAAGAGTCTGAAAGATAAGGTCAGAAGGATTTATTATTTATGACAGAAGTAAAAGTTACGGAGCTAGACTTAAAGACAGAGAGTTAACAGCTACGGGCTACTCTCTGTGTGTGTGTGTGTGTGTCTGTGTGTGTGTGTGTGTGTGTGTGTGTGTGTCTGTGTGTGTGTGTGCGTGTGTGTGTGTCTGTGTGCGTGTGTGTGTGTGTCTGTGTGCGTGTGTGCGTGTGTGTGTGTCTGTGTGTGTGTGTGTGTGTGTGCGTGTGTGTGTGTCTGTGTGTCTGTGTGCGTGTGTGTGTGTCTGTGTGTGTCTGTGTGTGTGTGTGTGTGTGTGTGTGTCTGTGTGTGCGTGTGTGTGTGTGTGTGCGTGCGTGTTTGGATGTCATGGAAAACAGGCTGTACACACTGTTTACATGGACCAGAGTTTACACATGGTAAGACCAGACGTACATGTAGGAGATGATCATGGACCAGAGTTTACAGATTGCTAAGTTCATGCTAGCACTTTTGCCTATGTAGCATGTGTTGGACGAGCAGCTGACAGGCCTCACACTAACATTCTCTCGGCTGTTGAATAGTCTCCTGGTCCCGTGTCACTTTGGGACCTGTATCTAATAAGCGGAAAGACACTTGTCGTGATCGGCGTTGGACAGGCAGCACACTCGCTCTCCGGCAGACTCTGTCCCCAGGCGAGCCCCTCTCAAATTGACAATTTTTCCTCCAACAAATGACTTCCTTCTGCTCTTGTCCTTTCCCTCTGGCAACCTTTCCTTCCACCCTCACACTTCCTAATAATACAGTAAATGTCAGGAATGGATGGCGCTTAAACGTCTTCAAACGTACAATACTGGGTTTTTGTTTTAGAGTTATTACTTCTCGTTGGGTCAAGGACAGAGCTGAGGGTCCAGAAAACTTGATATACAACATTTATGGACATTTATCAACATTAAAGGTGCAGTAAGCGATTTTGTTAGCTTAGCCGTGGCACCAACTGGAAACCACTCCCCCCGCCCCTCCTTCTCCACCAAACCACTCCCCCCTCCCCTCCCGTCTCCACCAAACCAATCCCCCCTCCCCTCCCGTCTCCACCAAACCAATCCCCCCTCCCCTCCCTCTCAAACCACAAACCACTCCCTCTCCACCAAACCACTCCCTCTCCACCAAACCACTCCCCCCTCTCCACCAAACCACTCCCCCTCCCCTCCCTCTCCACCAAACCACTCCCCCTCCCCTCCCTCTCCACCAAACCACTCCCTCTCCACCAAACCACTCCTCTCCACCAAACCACCCCTCCCCTCTCCACCAAACCACTCCCCCCTCCCCTCCCGTCTCCACCAAACCACTCCCCCTCCCCTCCCGTCTCCACCAAACCACTCCCCTCTCCCCTCCCGTCTCCACCAAACCACTCCCCCTCCCCTCCCTCTCCACCAAACCACTCCCCCTCCCCTCCCTCTCCACAAACCACTCCCCCCCCTCTCCACCAAACCACCCCCCTCCCCTCCCTCTCCCCACCAAACCACTCCCCTCCCCTCTCCAACAAACCACTCCCCCTCCCCTCCCTCTCCACCAAACCACTCCCCCTCCCCCTCCCCTCTCCAACAAACCACTCCCCCTCCCTCCTCTCCAACAAACCACTCCCCCCTCCCCTCCCTCTCCAACAAACCACTCCCCCCTCCCCCCCCTCCTCTCCACCAAACCACTCCCCCTCCCCTCCCTCTCCAACAAACCCACCCCCCTCCCCTCCCTCTCACCAAACCACTCCCCTCCCCCTCCCTCTCCAACAAACCACTCCCCCTCCCCTCCCTCTCCAACAAACCACTCCCCCCCTCCCCTCCCTCTCCCAACAAACCACTCCCCCCTCCCCTCCCCTCCAACAAACCACTCCCCCCTCCCCTCCCTCTCCAACAAACCACTCCCCCCTCCCCTCCCTCTCCAACAAACCACTCCCCCTCCCCTCCCCCTCTCCACCAACCCCTCCCCTCCCCCTCCCTCTCCACCAAACCACTCCCCCTCCCCTCCCTCTCCACCAAACCACCCCCCTCCCCTCCCTCTCCACAAACCACCCCCCTCCCCTCCCGTCTCCACCAAACCACTCCCCCCTCCCCTCCCTCTCCACCAAACCACTCCCCCTCCCCCCTCTCCACCAAACCACTCCCCCTCTCCCTCCCCTCTCCCACCAAACCACTCCCCCCCCCCTCCCTCTCCCTCCCCCCTCCCTCCCTCTCCACAAACCACTCCCCCCTCCCCTCCCTCTCCAACAAACCACTCCCCCCTCCCCTCCCTCTCCAACAAACCACTCCCCCCTCCCCTCCCTCTCCAACAAACCTCCCCCCCCCCTCCCTCCCCCCTCCCCCTCCCTCCCTCACCACAACCACTCCCCCTCCCCCTCCCTCTCCCCACAAACCACTCCCCCTCCCCTCCCTCTCCAACAAACCACTCCCCCCCCCCTCCCCTCCACCAAACCACTCCCCTCCCCTCCCCCCAACAAACCACTCCCCCTCCCCTCCCTCTCCACCAAACCACTCCCCCTCCCCTCCCTCTCCACCAAACCACTCCCCTCTCCCCTCCCTCCCTCCAACAAACCACTCCCCCCCCTCCCCTCCCTCTCCACCAAACCACTCCCCTTTCCCCTCCCTCTCCACCAAACCACTCCCCCTCCCCTCCCTCTCCAACAAACCACTCCCCTCCCTCTCCACCAAACCACTCCCCCTCCCCTCCCTCTCCACCAAACCACTCCCCCCTCCCCTCCCTCTCCAACAAACCACTCCCCTCTCCCCTTCCTCTCCACCAAACCACTCCCCCTCCCCTCCCGTCTCCACCAAACCACTCCCCCCTCCCCTCCCTCTCCAACAAACCACTCCCCCCTCCCCTCCCTCTCCAACAAACCACTCCCCTCCCCTCCCTCTCCAACAAACCACTCCCCCCTCCCTCCCGTCTCCACCAAACCACTCCCCTTTCCCCTCCCTCTCCAACAAACCACTCCCCCCTCCCCTTCCTCTCCACCAAACCACTCCCCCCTCCACTCCCTCTCCACCAAACCACTCCCCCCTCCCCTCCCTCTCCAACAAACCACTCCCCTCTCCCCTCCCTCTCCAACAAACCACTCCCCCCTCCCCTCCCTCTCCACCAAACCACTCCCCCTCCCCTCCCTCTCCAACAAACGACTCCCCCTCCCCTCCCTCTCCAACAAACCACTCCCCCCTCCTCTCCCTCTCCACCAAACCAATCCCCCTCCCCTCCCTCTCCAACAAACCACTCCCCTCTCCCCTCCCGTCTCCACCAAACCACTCCCCCTTGTTGCGTCTGGATCCATGCGTTTTGTTTCATCGTGTTTCTTTTTGATTCTCTGATCTGCGTTGGCGAATTCATTAGTTTTGTAAAGTCCTCCTAAATAACTACTGTTGTTTAGTACTATATAAGAATACATTTCACTCAAATCGAATCAAATCCTCCTGATCTCAACCCTGCATTTTTTTTTGGAAGCGTTTTCTGGAGGTTTTCTGTGATGTTGGCAAAGAGAAAGTCATTCCCACGACACACAGAGACATAAGGAAAGTGCGGCTTCCGTCTCTTCTATCTCTTCTCCTCTGTTCTATTGATTGCACCTGCTGAGTGATCCGCTGGAGCAGAGAGAGACCATTTCAGCCTCGAGAGCTGCTCAGGAGACAAGCATCACTTTGAAATGTAATGCAATGAATGTTTGAAAGAACGGGGCCGCTGGGTTTGAAGTGTTAATCCTGTGTTTGAGTCAAGTTGTCACTCCAGTCTGTAAAGTTTTTCCCTTTGGACGGTTAAATTACATGTGGTGTAGGAGCAAGGCTAAACGTAGAGCTTCTGGAGACCATGTCTAAACTATAGGCTGTAAATATGAACAGATGTAGTGACGCCTTTCTCCACTGTAGAACCTAATGTACCAACACTTTTGCCTTTTTCAAAATGAACAGTCTGTGTGTGTTGGAGCCACGACAGGGAGGTGCACGGTCCATACGACTCCTGTAATGTTTCCAGCTAACACTAAAACAACACCTGCCAGAGAGAGACAGAGAGACCCTCCACACGGGAAAAAAAACCCTTAAAAATATGAAAAATAATATAATAATAATAATTAAAAAATAAGTAAAAAAAAAAAACTGCATAAGGACTTTACTGATCTCACACTGGAGAAATGTACATGATCATTTTTTATTATTTTAATGATCTGAAAATAGAACAAGAAAATATAACTTAAGATTTCTGAAAATAAGAAAATAATACTAGCCCCAAATGACTTGATTCTAGTTTTAAAACACACATTTTTAAGTTTTATTGACTTATTTCTTAAACATTTTTGCAATTTTTTTCAAATATAGCATCACAAAAGTATTTTATCTAAACAAGAAAAGTCTGGAAATACGACACAAAATAGTAAAACCATCTTAAAAACTCACTGCTCAGACTTTTTCTCTAAACACATTATGAAGTATCTTAAAACTAGTAAAATAATCATACATGACAAACTACATTAATGCCACAAAACCTTATTATTTTGTCATTTTTAGTAAATAAATCTCTCCAATATTTAACTGTGTAACGGCCCATTTTACTGTCTCGCTGTAATTGAAATCCTGTTTATCTAAGAGACGCCATTACGCTGTGTCTTTAAAGCAAGTGCAGATAAGTAGCAAGGAAAATGCATCATAAATCACATCAGATAAGCACCGTTGAAGCTGATTCTCCCGATTTCATCTCCTCTCAGCGTTTAGAGGCAGCGTTAGCATGCAGCCAGGTGACAGCGTTAGCTCAAGGTGCAGTCTGCCTGAATTATGCTTTTGGCAGCTTCGTTTGTGGATTTAAACAGGGTTAGAGTGGGGTTTACTGCACTAATGAGCAAGCAGCAGTAGGTATGTTTATGTGAATAGAGCAGGTTATATACAGTAAGTTTATGTGAATAGAGCAGGTTATATACAGTATGTTTATGTGAATAGAGCAGGTTATATACAGTAAGTTTATGTGAATAGAGCAGGTTATATACAGTAAGTTTATGTGAAAAGAGCAGATTATATACAGTATGTTTATGTGAATAGAGCAGGTTATATACAGTATGTTTATGTGAATAGAGCAGGTTATATACAGTATGTTTATGTGAATAGAGCAGGTTATATACAGTATGTTTATGTAAATAGAGCAGGTTATATACAGTAGGTTTATGTGAATAGAGCAGGTTATATACAGTAGGTTTATGTGAATAGAGCAGGTTATATACAGTATGTTTATGTGAATAGAGCAGGTTATATACAGTATGTTTATGTGAATAGAGCAGGTTATATACAGTATGTTTATGTGAATAGAGCAGGTTATATACAGTATGTTTATGTGAATAGAGCAGGTTATATACAGTAAGTTTATGTGAATAGAGCAGGTTATATACAGTATGTTTATGTGAAAAGAGCAGATTATATACAGTATGTTTATGTGAATAGAGCAGGTTATATACAGTAAGTTTATGTGAATAGAGCAGGTTATACACAGTATGTTTATGTGAATAGAGCAGGTTATATACAGTAGGTTTATGTGAATAAGGCAGGTTATATACAGTAGGTTTATGTGAATAGAGCAGGTTATATACAGTAGGTTTATGTGAATAAGGCAGGTTATATACAGTAGGTTTATGTGAATAGAGCAGGTTATATACAGTAGGTTTATGTGTTTAAGGCAGGTTATATACAGTATGTTTATGTGAATAGAGAAGGTTATATACAGTAGGTTTATGTGAACTGAGCAGGTTATACATGAGGCCAAATGCAGGATAAGAATCTCCAAGTCTGTTTTAGACACTTTATTTCTCACCAAATAGTTCCATGTGATGAGTTATAATTGTGTTGTAATTTAAAGTCTATTCTCTGAGCCACAGTATTATTAGATTATTATTATTAAAGTTATTATTATTATTAAACACATGCAACACATTTCACGCTAACAGGAGCATATGAAACTCTCAGATTAACCTTCTACCTCCCACTATTGCACTTCATACTTGCCCCCTTAATTGGCGTCACAGTCTGGGGCTGAGTCAGTCTGGGACCTGCCTGGACTCATGGAGCTCCACAAGAGTCCGGTTAGTGAAGGGGTGTCCAAACTTTTCAGTAAGAGGGACACTTTAGTTCACCAGACTAGTCCAGGGACCAACATCATGGACTGGAAAACTGTCTTCACTGGCATCGGGCTGTTCTGAGCTTTGTGATGATCTATGGCAGAGCTGAAGTTGGCTGAATGACACATGTTTACCATCTCACCAGCTACTTTAGCATCATCAACAGAAGTTGGATGGATGACTCAGTGAACTTGTGTTTATAACAGGGGTGTCCACATTTTTAGTAAGAGGGCCACTTTAGTTCATCAGACTTGACCAGGGACCGACAACCTTGATTTAAAAACTAGATTCAAAATGGATTGACTGGATTCTGGAATAAAAAATGTGTTATGATGCGTCCTTTTGATTCACAGCTGCATTTTATTTGGAATGTTGAGACAAAATCATACAATAAATGTCAGTAAATAACAATAGAGTCAACGACTGGATTCCAGAGGGTCTGAGGTTTACAACAAGGTATGGCATGACTGTGTTGGTGGAGCTAAAGTTGGTTGGATGACACTATGGGATAGCATGGCGCAGGACCACATAACATTGCCCTGAGGGCCGGAATTAGCCCCTGGGCCTGAGTTTGGCCAAGCCTGGGTTAGTAAAAGCCAAAGCTAAAGGAACTCCAGCGCAGGAAGCTGACTCGGTGCTTCCCAGCTCTCAGGTGATGACTCAGCTCGCTGTTAGCGCCACGGTCTTCACCCCCGCCACGCCACCTCGCTCGCCACGGTGATTTATTATCCCTGATCCGCCCCACGCCGCCGCACATTAAAGGGGGCGCTTCATCGTGGCAAAGCAGATATAACAACTGCATCTCGGCACAGCTCGGGCGGGAGCGAGTCCGGTGCGTGTTCTGCCGTCTGGTGTTTTATTGGGCGCATAAAACCAACAGTGGAGTAACAGAAACCAAAGCAGTCAACAAGATTTTTACTGCACTTGTTCTGAAACAGCTGCGTGGTTTACAGTCACAAGATTAAAACTGTTTTTTAAATTTATTTACAAATGAGAAGGAGAGGTTCTGCAGGTCTTTCCTTAATGCTGCTGTTATTATTATTATGATGTGTTTATTTGATAGGGACAGAACAAGAAGCATTGTTACGGGAACCCATGCTATGTTCTTAGGCCGTGTAGCGCACAGCTGGTTTGCAGACCTGGTCCCTGGTGTCAGACTGTACAATGAGAACTGCTGAGTCTGTACATGTAAATAAGTAAATACTGCAATCATGTGCAATGCTGCAACTTCAGAATATCCACTGAATGTCACTTCATCTTTCCATTACCCTGCGCTACATATATATATATAGATATATATATCTATATATATATTGCCACGTCCACCACCACCATGAGCCGTGGTGGTGGACGTGGCAATTCCAAGCGATGGTAACATCCGGAAAAAAGAACATGAAAAGCTTGAGAAATACCAAGGTCTCAGAGAGGAGCTGGAGAGGGCCTGGAGGGTAAAGGTGACAGTAGTGCCCGTGGTGATCGGTGCAGCTTCGGGGCAGTGACCCCGAAGCTAGATGAGTGGTTACAGCGGATCCCCGGAACAACCTCGGACATCTCGGTCCAGAAATGTGCAGTGCTAGGAACAGCAAAGATACTGCGCAGAACCCTCAAGCTCCCAGGCCTCTGGTAGAGGACCCGAGCTTAGAGAGGGATAACCGCCCGCGGAGGGCCAAAGGTGAGTGGTATATATATATATATATATATATATACTGCAGATAGATGGATATTTTGAAAGATTGATATTGAAGCATTTACAGCTAAGAAACTAGCAGCTACTTATATTGTATATTTTGTTTGCTCCCTGTGTGCTCAGATTATTGATTATTTTATTCTCACAATATTATCTTATTATTATTATTCTTATTTTCAGATTGTTTCTCTATTGGTATTTTTATTGTGAAAAACTCTGCAAGCTCCTGTGACATCACAAGATCTGGATCAATAAAGTCTGTTTAAGTATTACAGTCCCCCCCCCCCCCCCTCCTGTGGACTCACCACCTGCAGAGGGTCAGTGAGGGGCTGGTGCTATGAGACTTGGGTGGCATCTCTGACTGCACCCCCCTGACCCAGAAATGGATTAAAGGGTAGAAAATGGATGGATGGATGGGACTCCCCCCTCCCCCTTACATTGTCTACCCCCCTCTGCCCTCACCCATAACTCCCCTCTGGGCGGGGCTAGTCCGAGTAATGTCCAATCAAAAACATCCAGCGTGTTTTCCGAACGTAATGTATCTTTCCAAACAGTTCTTTTCTGCACAGTTTATCCAATGGGGTTTTACTGCAAATGACAAACACATCCTTGAGTCTTGAGTCTAAGACATGAGAGTAATACGGCAGGTTTGTGAATAAAACAGCATTGGATCATGATCTGGGGAAAAAGACAAACGCAACCTTTTCCCTTTGAATCGACGTGTTTCTGGAGCATCTGGCGACACGTTGTCAGAAGTTTATGCCCCGAGGATCTGCAAAGCTACACGGATACGTACAACAAAAGAAAATGTTCTGAAACTGTGCCTGAAGCGGTTGATCCTGAAATCTGTGGGTTTGCTTTGTTTCCCAGATGCTCTGTTTTCTGCTCCGACCTGAAGGAGCACTCACTGTCACTTATTGATTGTGGTCTGGCTTTTATGCTAGCAATGGGGGTAGCTCTAACTCACGGATTTAAAACATGCTAACATGCTAACGTCAGCACAGGTGTGTTTTATAAGACACTGCAAAAAATGATAAAATATGAGGTGATATTTGCTTGTTTTTATCTTCATCTGAGTTGATTGTGACTGTGTTAAAACTAGATTCTTCAGCGGGACTAAGCTATTCAGTCTGTTGCGTCATTTTCTCATTCCAAGAGAGACATTTCTGTGTCTTTTTAAATCAGGTTCATTTTGCTTTGTCCCGTTGGAAAATCATTCTGCCCAATTTCATCCCACAGTGTTGCGAATCCAGACCCTAAAACCAAATGAAAGTAGTGGTAGTTTTAAAAGGATGTCTCTGAGGCTGCACCAGGATCACTATGTTCTATCACTTTCTGTTCTTGTGCTGAAAGAAAAAGATTTCCTCTTGATGCGTAAAAAGCACATATGTGAACGGCAGCGTCTGTTTCAACACGCTGTCATCAGTGCTTCTCACACCAGCAGAGTTCTTAGAAGAATCCCACGCACACGGTGAGGGGCTGCTGTGGGCCCGCTGCTTAGATCTGCTCTAATTAGCTGTCCTGAAAGGCTACACATGGTCCTGCCTGTCCTGAAAGGCTACACATGGTCCTGCCTGTCCTGAAAGGCTACACATGGTCCTGCCTGTTCTGAAAGGCTACACATGGTCCTGCCTGTCCTGAAAGGCTACACATGGTCCTGCCTGTTCTGAAAGGCTACACATGGTCCTGCCTGTCCTGAAAGGCTACACATGGTCCTGCCTGTTCTGAAAGGCTACACATGGTCCTGCCTGTCCTGAAAGGCTACACATGGTCCTGCCTGTCCTGAAAGGCTACACATGGTCCTGCCTGTTCTGAAAGGCTACACATGGTCCTGCCTGTCCTGAAAGGCTACACATGGTCCTGCCTGTCCTGAAAGGCTACACATGGTCCTGCCTGTCCTAATGCCTAGCATTAGCATGTAGCCTAGCATTAGCATGTAGCCTAGCTTTAGCCATCTCCTTTGCCGCTAGGGTTGCCAACCGTCCCTTGAAATACGGAATTGTCCCGTATTATAGAAAAACTATGTGCGTCCCGTATTGAACTGATACGGGACGGCTTTTGTCCCGTATTTTCAGAGTCGCCTTAAATGCATCACTCACTCACTGCATGTCATACAAGCGACACACGCACACACAGTAATCACAGTTTAAGCGTCTACCTTTCGGCCAAACAGTGTCAAAGGGGGCGTAAGCTTGATCACATCCATGGGTTTACCCTTACTGTTGACAAGTGACAGCGTGGGCCGTGCATGGATCTATGGGGCCATGCCCGCAGCATCATCCTGGCAGAAGTCTGGTAAAGTAGCGTCATATTCCCAGATTCGGACTTCCGCGGTCAATAGCTCACGGAAGTTACTTTGTTAAACAAAAGTAATTTGCTAAAATGATCACCTCTATGTTGATTTTTCAAATCCAATGCGCTGTTTTTAATGCAGAGAAATCCATTGAATCCAGTGCACTGCAAGCGCCGAGAAAAGCGCTTAGGGACCGTCAACCAATGTCAATACCAGCTTTGTAAACAAAAAATAGCTTTTACTGAAGCCATGTACACGCACTAAACTCTCAGACACTATAAATAATGACCATATCTAGCTGCTACAGACTTTGATTTCAACATTTGTGAGTTTTTTTAATGAATACATGTTTTTCTTTTTTTCTTTTACAGTAAATGGTCTTTACTGTAACATACATAAATAATGTATGTTACAGCGTTTGTCTTTTTATATGTTTTATTACTAATAAGAATGCATGAAGTCCTTAACCAGCCAAAGAGTTCCACCTATTTATGACATTTATTTTTTGCCTAAGAATTTTTTTGATTTTTATATGTAGCCAATAAATTTATATGTAGCCAATAAATTACATTCTAAAAATGGGATTATGAAATTCCATGATTCCTGTGTAGATTGAAATTACGACTAAAAAGTGCTCAACCCGATCCACCCAAATGGTGTCCCTTATTTTTTTGTTCTCAAGTTGGCAACCCTATTTGTCACTAACGGAGCCCGTGGGGAGTAGAGCCACAACATCTTTGCTTCAGTGACATTTACTAAACATTCCTCTTGCTCCGGCTTCAGTTTCTTGATATTTGGATTCAACCAGAACAGATTATTTTACTATCACATTCTCCATGGACCAGAGTTTACACATGGTAAGACCAGACACACATGTAGGAAATGATCACGGACCAGAGTTTACAATGGCTAATGCTAGGCTAACATGTTTATTGTAAGATTGATGGCGGAGGAGATTAGACACCTGCGGATTCCAACCTTGCTTCCTTTTCCTGTTGAATGGGACCATTAAAGTCGCTGGTAGTTGAACAGGACCATTACAGTCGCTGGTAGTTGAACAGGACCATTACAGTCGCTGGTAGTTGAACAGGACCATTACAGTCGCTGGTAGTTGAATAGGACCATTACAGTCGCTGGTAGTTGAATAGGACCATTACAGACGCCGGTAGTTGAATAGGACCATTACAGTCGCTGGTAGTTGAATAGGACCATTACAGTCGCTGGTAGTTGAATAAGACCATTACAGTCGCTGGTAGTTGAATAGGACCATTACAGACGCTGGTAGTTGAATAGGACCATTACAGACGCTGGTTGTTGAATAGGACCATTACAGTCGCTGGTAGTTGAATAGGACCATTACAGTAGCTGGTAGTTGAATAGGACCATTACAGTCGCTGGTAGTTGAATAGGACCATTAGAGTTGCTGGTAGTTGAATAGGACCATTACAGTCACTGGTAGTTGAACAGGACCATTACAGTCGCTGGTAGTTGAATAGGACCATTACAGACGCTGGTAGTTGAATAGGACCATTACAGTCGCTGGTAGTTGAATAGGACCATTACAGACACTGGTAGTTGAACAGGACGATTACAGATGCTGGTAGTTGAACAGGACCATTACAGTCGCTGGTAGTTGAATAGGACCATTACAGATGCTGGTAGTTGAATAGGACCATTACAGTCACTGGTAGTTGAACAGGACCATTACAGTCGCTGGTAGTTGAATAGGACCATTACAGAC